CGGAAAGCGTGAAGAACACGGCATGTGAGCATATTTTTGCGCTTTTGTATCCTTGCAAATAACTAATTTGAGGTTTTCTTCAGGTTCTCGTTCAGGGAAACTATCCAGTTAAGATAATTAACCCATATATGTCGAAATAATCCATCTGAAGAAAAGAAATTTACGATGCCCTGACCATGGCAGCAGAATTAGATTCCATCACGTGATCCAGCCTCTGCACAAGCGCGGTAAAGTTCGGTCGGTCTTCGGGTTTCTCCATCCAACAGTCTGTCATCATGGCATACCTGTCAAAAAACACAATAATTTGCTGACTTTGATCGAAAATTTAGCTGGTTAAAAGAGAGAAGCAAATCACGCAGCGAGACTCAAGTGATTCCTTATGCTGAAACTCGATTCATTCACTTACAGAGAAGTTAAATGTTTTGACCTTTTTTAGCTCATAAACAAATGCCTCAAGGCAGTGGGAGACATTTGAGTTCTTCCATCTGCCGTAATCGTCATGCTATTGTGACAAGCGTTTGTCTAACTACGCTCGTTCTAGAACATTCCCAAGGTAACACCAAGGATTTTAAGTTTAAGTTTCTTTTCGAGGAGGAAAAAAGGAGAGGAGATGACGGCCAGGGAAAAACGACGAACAGACAGACGCAGGAGAAAACAAACTAAGTGTCCTGTGATCCAGTTGGTGGAAATTCTGACTGCCAAGAAAGGTCTGAGGTTCGAATCTTCGAGAAGAAATCTTTATCTTTGTTCCATGTTCGCTTGCTGAAAATTTTCAATATCTCTTGTTATAAGTAACATTAACACTGATGTTAGCGCATCGCGCGGAACTCTGGGATAATGCCTCACTCGCGGATTTCCGCGCGGTTCGGGAACATCATTTTGTCATTTTTCACTGTTTGCTTTTGATTCGCGCGACGGACTTCGTAAAAAGGGAGGGGTTGCTCGTAGTCTAAAGTATCATACGTATTCGAGGCACATACATTTCTTCTGGACATTCCAAGGGTCTTTCCATACGATTTCCGTCCTTGATATATTGATAAATTTCTGTCGGCGGTATCGAAGGATAGGGATTTCCTCCTACAGTATAATGAAAACAATACGTTGGATTCGAATCTCACAAAGACCAACCGGCCAACACTAATACAGGAGCGTAACTACGAGCCTTACTCTTTCAAGAACTGAAATTATTTTGATCTATTTTAGTATTTTTTGTACCTCTAGACTTCTCTTTTAATTAAAGTCAATTTCCCTTTGGACAACAGACCCTGTTGCTAAATGTAAGTGTTTACGAGTTTTGTGCTTGACTAGTCACTCAAAGTAGAAAGGATAATACCTTGGAAGGGTGGTAGGGTGGCGTGGGGTGAGGGGTTTACTGAGGAGGTTACAGTTTTGATGGCGCACTTATGAATCCGAATTCCTTCAAAATCGTCAAATCTTACCAAGAGTAAACAGCTCCCAGAGAAAAATTCCAAAGGACCATCTACAAAATAAAATCAAAAGGAATGTGAATTACTGTGTGAACTACTGAACCTTTTCAAATTGCAAACCAACGCGAGTAAGTTTTACTTCAAAGGCGATTGCAATGGTTTAGTAAGGGGGGAGGGATACCAGAGGACAATTGACCCCTTCCATGTAATAAAACACTCATGGGCTCCCTAGGGTTAGATATCGTACTCATGCCTCTGGATTTTGGAATCATTTTTTTTGCTTTTTTTCACCTGCACATATATATATATATATATATAATATATACTTATATTCATAAATTAGATTAAAATTATACATTTCAAAACCGTCTTACACGTCACTCTGCTCGGAGTAAACTCTATCCACTAGGGATTCAATTGCCATCCATTTCACCGGAACAAGGCCCTAGAAAGAAACATCAAATCTGTATGAGGAAAAGACTGATTGGTGGAAAAATAAATCACCAGTGAAAGTTTAAAACACGAGTACACTGTTGTTCCTTTTGTGTTTGTCTGTCTCTTTCAAAAGCCTACTCACTTCTGGGGTTCCATTCCCCCGACCTAATTCCCAGGGTCCTCACCGGGGAAGGAAGAGAGAGGGCCCTGGGAACTACGTTGCGATTCCTGATTGGGAATCAACTTTTTTTCTCTTTCCCACGATCGCGGAGAGACGAAAAGTCATCCCTCTTTATGTCAACTAATAAATACTCAGCGTCTGAAAGAAGGAGTTTCCTCTCAAATGGATTTGAATTTAGGCGTAACAGAATAAATTTGAGCTGGCTCACCGGCGAGACTTTGATGTACTTGTCATCTTTATACACATCTCGGGCTAGCCCAAAGTCTGCAACTTTCACCACATAATTTTCCCCAATGAGAACATTCCTGGCTGCTAAATCTCTGTGGACACACTGGAAAGACAATAACAGTTAGAGACTGGTCAACATCGATTGCCTGAGGAAGGGGAGGTCGGACGATTTTGATTGTAACATAATGATATTTACCTGATCCCCCACCAAGGTTCTGCAGTATTCTAATGACCCCCTCCCCTCCTTCCCCTTCTTGGAAGTCAATTGTAAATAGGCGACGGCTGATCTCCCCTCCGTTCCCCCCCTCCCCCCATGTGAAAACCACGTGTAAATAATGATCGGTCCTTGTGACCGACTCACAACCTTTTTATCTCACTGTTCAATTCAACTAGTTCCTAATTATGTCACCCTTCAAATTAAACTCTAATTTGGTTTATCAACCATGATTCGTAAATCACACGATAAGGAAAAGAAAAAAGGGGGAAATTCTTTTAAAGGATCACCTACCTTTCTAGACACAAGAAATTCCATGGCTCTAGCGACTTGAAAAGCTGCACTCACTAGTTCTGTCAAGCTGATCTGTTTGTCAGGATCTTCGGTGGGTGGCAACCATGTTGGGTCATAAATTCCTCGACTGTTTCTCAGAAATATTAACATGTTCCCATATGGACAGTACTCGATGATCACGCAAAAATCACTGTAACGACCTGGATATGTAATTTGGTAAAATAAATTATATTTTAAGGAACTGGAGTTGAAACACAATATGGAATGGATGAGACAAAACTATCTTTCCTTCCACTAACGTTTTAAAGTTGTAGTTTGTGCATCTTTGGCAGAAGTAACAAAAATAACGGCAAACAAAATAAAAAAATAATCAATAACAAAAATAGACAAAGAAACTAGAGGAACAACAGCATCATTCCTCCTGGTTGTAAACAACGAGATTTATATTTATGCTTTCTATGAAACTGGTGTTCAACTAACCGGGCTGCGAAGTGTAGTATTAAAACTAAGTGGTCTAATATTAGGAAGAAAAATTCTCCTTTAAACATTACATTGAGAAATAGTTTACGTACAAAAAGTTGATATTTAACCAAAGATAACGGAAAAAGATCATTAGCTTAAGCCAGAATATCAGTGACGTGATCAATTTTATAAAGTTGTCTTAGGTTTTTCGCGCGATTCAAGGAAAATCAGTCATTGATTCTACGCCAAAAGATAGATTTCACTGCAAAACAGGTACTGCTCGTGGTTTACATATAACTGGACCCCTAAACATTTAGCTTTTATTACCCTTTGTGCAAGCTGCCAATAAGTTGACAATATTCTTGTGAGATCCGATGTGAATCAATATCTTTAGCTCGGAGATCAGGTCTTTGTGCTCTGATTCCTCTGCCCCCTCTGTTTAAGAGGAAAGTCGTTGATTTGGAGTTAAAATAATGAAATCACGTGTTAAATAATAGTTGAATTAGAGGTCATTCAAGCGAACTGCAATGTCCGGCAAAGTTTAAGATAGAAATTATAAGTGTGAGCGACACAGTTGCCTAAAGGTAAACACAGTGAAATCCTAAGGTCTTGGGTTTGATTTCCTCTTTGCCTTTCTCCAATCTGTAGTGTGTGTAAGTATCAATGAACTGTCAAGGAAACATGACAAACAACCTCATTCTCAGGGAACTATCTCTTGCTTTCTCGAGGAGGGAAGGAAAAGGACCCTGGGAACGAGGTTGTTTGACAAAAATCATTGGGTGACTTGGGAAAGATAAGCATTCCTTTAAGTGGGGTTCAGCATTTTATCTGGTCGCTTTATGTGCAGAAAA